GACCTTCCGGTTACAAGGCAAGCTGGCTCGTATACCATTCAGCCACTGGGACCCGATTCAATGGCCAGTCCATGAATTCTAACTTCTACCAACTCGTGATTTAGCGCGACCCCAACCATTGTCGTCGGTGGGACATCCATCCACACACGTGACATCTAATTGGACCTCACTGGTCACGACTTCTCACTAGAACTCCAGGATACTCCATCCTATAGCAAGTCACTAGCGAGCATCAGATTGATTTTATATAGTTTGGTTTGTAAGGGTTAGATATGAAACAGCAGCTGTCTAGTACTCCCTGGTTTTCAATGGTTACCTAACTGATATCAATCCGTGATCAACTCGTAAAAACAAAACTAACCCTTACAAACCAAACTATAGAAAATCATATTTATATTTAACAAAAAAGAATTCCTAAAACCAATCAGATATTGGTAAATCTGTTCTAGAATGTGTATTACATAATGTAAGATGTAATCTAGAGGTGAATAACAGATTGGTGATTAGAAAAAGGGGTGGGGGGGGGCAGAAGTTGAAATGACGTAATAATTGTGAAAAATGACTAATGTGATTCCACTATGGATAAGATTTTATTTTGATAAATCACACAGTGTTACACAGTAATATTAACTGATGACGTTTCGGGCACAAATTATTGCTCATAATCATATCAAGTTACTCACATATTAAGTCCCCTAGAATCGTGACAATCCATATACTAGGTCCAATCAATGGCTACTAAGGAATAATTATATCGAAATCAGTTGTATAACAGTTCCTTACTAATATTAAGCAATAATTAGCTGTTTATTTCACAGCATGAACAGCATTCTATAGATATTAAACCTCAGTGTGCTAAAAAATAAAGGTATTTGCAATATTAGCAGGCCATATTCTCTGGTGAGTGTTTCCGCAAGAACTCTCAAAAATTCTCAGACCTTTAATAATTTTCTTTGTGTTTTCAAGTAATAGTTTTGTAGGGATTTTGTTCGATTGGTTGGAGGATTTCATCATGAGCTGACATCAGTAAGATAAACATTGGAAAACTAGCTGGGAGTAGTGGACAGCTGTCTCCCTCGTCCTACTTTAGGACTCTTCCCCGGAATGCACGCACCGGTGTTCGAACCTAGGACCCTCTGGTTGCAAGGCGAGCTCATAGACCACTAAACCACTGGGACCCAATCCAGTGGCCAGCCCATGAATTCTAACTCCTGCCAATTCATAACCTAGTGCGACCACTTCACAGTGTCTTCTTCGGTGAGTTACTGCCTCACCTTCAACCTGCTGCACCCTACTGGTCAAAAAATATTAGATTATAGTCCTACTGGGGGTCAGTCATGGGCACAAATAGCTCTGACTTCAGGAATGGGTGCCATGAGTTTAAATCCTAGACTACACATCGGTTATTTCTTGATGAAGGAAGTTCGAATACAGTGAATATGTGCTGCTGACCCTGTATATTCACTTAGCTTTAATGCAACTTAAGTACTAAGAGAGTAGTTATAAAATGACTTCAGAAAAATTGGTGATTTCATCGAATAATAACTTGTCGTCTTTTGGAGTACTTTCGTTGCATAACTATTCAACCAGTATATCGATAGTTGAAAAATGAATAAATAGTCTCATATTTCGCTTAGTAAACAAAGTATCATGACTTTTTTTCTGATAGAATCTACTTTGCTTGAGTTCAACCTCTGGACTACATAGTTCTGGATTTCCCACAAACTGGAAGATATGTAGGTAAAAAGCAACAAGTTGGCAGAAGAAGCATCAAAGACAGGAAGGACTTCAGGTGAACATAGAGAAAACAGATGTGGTGATGAAGATTTCTGGCCAACAGCAGCTGCAACGACAACAGACAAAAATCAGGAGGAGTCTGAAAGAAACAACCTTCTTAACCTACCTACCTAGGAAGCATCGTTTCAACTACAGGCGGAACTGATGAGGATATCAAAGCAGCGAGGATCGGGAATGCAAGGCAAGCTTTCATTTCTCTCAAGTCTGTGTGGAACACTGAGCATGAAAAATAAGACTCGGACCAGAGACATGTTGCCGCGTCAAGAAAGGCACTTCGAACAAACTACACACCTTCATCAACAACTGTCTCCGCTCAATACTACTCAAGATCAGATGGCCGGCCAGAAAACATCAGTAGCAGGAAGGGATCTCTGGCAATGAGCGAACGAACCAACCTATCGGGAACCAATTGTGCAACAAATATGCAGAGAGAAATGAAGGTGGATTGGCCATGCTATGCGAAAACAAACCATCAAGTGATATCACACGCCATACTGTTTGGTGGAACCCGTATTGGAAGCAGTGAGTTGGTTGTCAGTGAGAGGGTGACGTGAAGAGGAGGTGAAAGCATGTGGACATAGGTGGAGCCAGGTGAAAACGTTTGTGGAGAACCCAATGCAATGAAGATTTGCGGCTGGAGTCCTGTGTTACTCTAGGAACTAAAGGAAACATTAATAAAAATACTGTATTAATCCAAGGATATTTATGTTTGTCGACCAATGAAGAAAAAATATTCTCAACAATTCAAATGTGATCTCTGACCTTTAAGATGAAGTAAACTCTAACATTGTCTTTAAAAGGAACTTGTTTCAAAAGACTGATTCATGAAGAGTAATAACTAAAGAAGTATTATTATCAACAAGTAAATTGTCGTTTTAAATTACACTGAATCAATGGTTTCGATAGGTGATGATTACATTTCAAGGGCATTAGTAAGCGACACTAAACTGAATGAATATCAGATAAACTGAGGGAAGTAACACACAGAATCTATGAATTTATAGATTTGACAGAAGGCCAGGATAGAAATTAGTGGCTGGATCTACTTCTCTTGAGTTCAGAGCTCTACTGTGGCCTCTAGTGTTTGGAGTGTTTGGTATCTAGTGGCCTTCAGACAGTTATTCTATACCCGATAGATGATAGAGAAAGACTTCAATGTGGCTCGCTTTGTTGTTTAAATCAACCAGGGCGTTGTGTGTACAAAAGCAACAGGTCCAGCCACTACTGATACTCTCTATGTTACTTCCCTTAATTTATGTGATATTTTGTATCGTTATATTAATGAATATATATTTTTCTTTAATGATTACTGTTATACAAATGTAGAACAATGATGAAGGAGTTATCAAAAATAATACTCCTTGTTAAATAATCAATTTAAAAAAAATTTGTGAGTGGACATTTTCAATCAAAATTATTTCAGTTCAAGATAGAAAGTGGACTTCTTCTAATGGCTCCACAGATAGCGCATATGTTTCACCGTCTTTGAAGTAACACTTTAATGCAACCAATATGGTTGAGTAAATACTTCACTTGTATAAACCAGGTCTTATACCAAAACATAAAATGACCATACTAGTAAAATGTATATGGAGTGAAAAGACAGCGACTGGTATCCAGCGTGTAGTTTGTTGGTGGGCAAATGAAGTCGGTGAAGTCTGTTCGTGCACACACACACTGTGCATAGACCTCAGTTCATAACCTTTTATTATTATTATTCCCTTGGGTTCCCAGTGGAACATAGGGCTTCAACAACACATCTCCACTTTGTTATGTTTTCTGCCATCCTCATCAACTGGGTCCACGACTGACCAAACTCTCTCATTTCTTCCTCACATGATCTCCTCCATGTCACCCCAGGACGATGCACTTTGCACTTCCCATTGTGATTCCACTCGAGCATTGATCTGGCATGCGATGTCATTCGGTGGCCTCCTCATTTTATGCCCGATCCATCTCCACTTTCTCCTACATATTTGTACAGCTGTCGGCTCTCACCCGTTGGTTTGTTCCCATAGTTTCTTGTTGCTTTTTGTTTCTGGTCACTTAATGTTCAGCATGGAGTGAAGACAGCTGTTGATGAAAATCTGCAACAGGCTGTCGGAAATCCTTTTCGTGACACTCTAAGTTTCTAACTCGTATAGAAGCACTAAACGACTTGACATTGGTGTTGAAAATGCGAATCTTGTTCCTTATGCTGAAGCAGTGTGCAGAAGATTTCCAAACTGGTTTCAGGTTGATGAAGGCGTATCTTGCCTTTCCGATTCTGACTTTGACCAGTCGATCAATAGGTAAAACTAAATCAATAAATGAAGATCAATTTTTTAATTTGTAGAGTTGTTCTTCTTCATATTCTTCTTCCTAACAGTTTAGAGTTATGAAAATTCATGTTTTTAGTTAACTGAATTCATCCTGCCTGATCATTCACTTAAAACTACTTATTTGAAATGATAGACGGATGCTGTGATCTCTGCGTGTTTCTGCGTGTGAGTGAGTGAGTGCTAGTGTTTGCGTGATTATAATTGTGAGTACATGGATGCTACACGTTAATAAAGGTAAACTTCAATCTCATTATCATATAGATGGATAGATGCGTAGAGATATGCCAAACTAAATAGACATACGATACCTTCACAAATTACGCTGTAGGTAAATAGAGACAAGAATACACACAAACACTCACTCATTCACTCACTCACACACGCAAGCATACACAAGAAGAGAATTTGATTCACTAAAAAGCAAATTAATTAGATAAATTTTAGGCAGTAGGCAAGTGAAAACTGACGTTAAAGAATACTGTGCTCACTGTTATCACAACATATATATATATATAAATCAGACTGAGCAAGCAAGCTAGAGACGACAACGACAGTGGCAACAGTGTCAAACACGATGTCTTTCAGTAAAGTAATTGTTAAAAATACTGATATGGATGATGAAATGATGGAGTCTGCGATACGCGTTACAGCCTGTGCTATGGATAAATATCAAGCTGATATGGATGTCGCTAATTTTATCAAGAATAAATTCAATAAGAAATATGGTCGATCATGGCATTGTATTGTAGGTCGACGTTTTGGAAGGTAGGCTCAACTATTGATTGCTATTTCATACTTCATTTGAAAATAAAAATCTTGTTCTTTTTTTAAAAGTGGTTTTAGATTTACTTTGATAAATATCTTTGATTATGTACATTTCAGTGATGTATCACATGAAGAACGATCCTTTATTTACTTCTTCCTCGGCGATCGAGCAATTCTACTGTTCAAGTCAGGTTAACTGAACACGGAAGTCCATTTCGATAGTTTATACAACTGGTCAATCAGTGTGATGTTTCAACGACAATAAACCAAGCCATTTACATGCATCACAGCCAAACTGTTAATTCTCTTCGTTTAACTTTAAATTCAAAAAAAAATACCGCCAAAAACTTATCAATGAAATATTGAAGAAATCAGTGTTCATAGCTTTATGTATCTGAGCAAAAAAACTTCTTTTTTTCAATTTCGTAGGCTCAAATTGTGTGTATCTCTGCGTTATTCTCCTTGTAAGAAGTGATTTCTTTTTCTTCAAAAATTGCAAATAAAAAAATGATCAATAAATTGTTTGAATTAAACTCTTAATTGTGTTGCTTGTCTGTAATAGAGTCTCCAGCAGATAGTGATCGCTTATTGTAGGTGATCCTTGTGACACACTCGAATTTAGTATTCACATCCCTTTGGAATTTTCGCTAAGTTATGGGGACTATAGCTTGCACAAAACATATGAGGGTGTACATGAAATTTTAAGTCTTCTGTAGTTTTGTGATCTAATAAACAGATCTTTTCTGCGATTCGGACTGTTTACACAGATCCTTTATTATTGTCTCTCTCTAGATCTTGACTATGTGTAGATATTTCCTAACTGTCAGTAGTGGAGGTCACAAAACACGTTTGTTTTTATTTAGGATCTGTCACATAGTTGCATCTCAGTGTTAGTGTTTCAAATAGTACACGAATACAAAAGCGATTATTGCTCAAATGAACTGTCGTCAAGATTTGACAGAAAAGTTCTAAAATATTTGGGCGCCTAGTGAGATGTAGACATTTGTAAAAAATTATATTTGTAAAGTCTCAGCGATATTGAAATGAGTCATTCCAACGTTTCCTGCGTTTGGCAATCTCGTCCGAACTTCTTCAGGGAAATTAATCGAAATTAACATAACGCAGGTTTATATATAAAAGGAACATCACTTGTTTTTAAAAACTTTGTCCAATCATGAGTCATTCAACAAGTATCAACAAGTATAATGAACAAAATGTTTTTATGAGCTGTGGTCAAAATTTGACCTGGGACTTACAAATATTGGTCTACCTTTGTTAAACACTTTAAACAGAGTGTGTGTGTGTGTGTGGGTAAACAGCTGTAAAACATTTCTTAACGTCTCCATAAGAAGATATAGACAGTCGGGAATTTTGACCAAGTATTAATTATTAATAATTAGTGATACATATCCATTTTTTTATTTATTAATCAGGATTTCCCATGCATCAGCTAACATCACACCTTCATGTCTGATCAAACTGTCAGTATCCAGAATTTTATGATTAGACGTATTTTCAAAATTATGGTGTTTATGATTAGAGTTTAGTACAAGCACCCTGTCGAACTTATTGCATTGTCTTCTTTCTGAATATTGAGCTGCTTTATTCGATCTACTGGAGTTGTCAGGTGGTGTCAAGTTCGGACCAGATTGCCGAACGAAACGTTGGAATTATTCATTTCAATCTCGCTGAGACTGTAAAAAATTATATTTTTTACAGATTATTGTTCACTCTAAAGGAAATTATGTGGCGACAAATATAACAATATTAACCCCAATTTATTGAAATATTGAAGGACAGAAACTAAGGAACCGACTTTCTCCCTGAGCTAAATTCAGTTATAACCTGCTGGGTAAAACTTTGAGTGAAGTGGTTTGCAGTCAAAAGCATTAGGTTAAATGGATTTGTCTATTGTTTTCTTCTTCTATCTACTTCATTCTCCCCGTGATTTCACTACAAAACTACTATTGCCTCTGGTATCAAGCTTTCGTTTTCCTTTGTGGCACGTTCCAAACATTATCAATTGTTGGTTTGCAGAGATTTGAACGGTCACAGGTTTGGTCACGAGCTGACGTCGTTTAGTAAGAGCCATTAGAAAACCAAGGAGTATTGAACAGCTTTTTTGTCCTAGTTTGGGACTCTTCACCTATTACCTTCCGGTTACAACCAATGGGACCCATGAATTCTGACTTCTGACAGTTCACAATATAGAGCGATTGCCAGCCAGTATCACTGGTTAGTAACTATTGCCTTATCTGACTCTGCGGACGCCGCTGGTCAAAACTTTTAACTAAAACTTCAAGTAACTTCCCATCTAGAGCCAGTCATCTGTGAGCATCAGATTAATTATTAAGTGTGGGTTCGAGCCCCGGTGGGTGCGCACTACCGTTTCAGTTACATCCAGCTTCCATACAGTAATGCTAGACTGTATAGTGACATATTTGTCGGATGATCACATATAAAATCAAAATATGACAGAAGACTAGGGATTATAGTCGGTAAACATTTTACGGTAATAAACACCCAACCGAAATTTCGTATGTGAGCACCAAAATATGAAATGAAAATAGTCTTTACAATTCATGAAAAGTTCTCAAATGAAACGTGCGATGTAGTGTAGCATGCACACATAATTTACGTCAAATATATCTACTGGTGCTGTACATCGTCGGTGAATATCAATGTTAAACTGCTTGACATTTGAGTCGTCTTCAATAAACTGTTAGGTGATTAGAACAATGACTAAAGGCATCTAAAGGCATTTTTAGTATGACACTTGTAGTGATGACTTTTCGTGATCTGCGTTTCAAATGTAAACTGATTAACCTGTCTCCTCAACATCTGAAATATCAAATCATAACATTGATGTGGTTCGATATGCTTTATCTTGATATTGTGTAATAAGCAATAGCATATACATTTAGAAAAAATGGAAAAGAAAATCTGTGGATCGGGTTATAATTCAGTTAAAGAACTACTGAAAACCAGTGTGTGCTGGACATCTTTTTCCTGCCTGTTACGGACTCTTCAGCAGTACTCACTCACGGCCACACTCACGCAGGATTGGACCTAGGACCTTCAGGTTACGAGGCCAGTCTGTTAACTAGTCACACAGTGGAACGAAATCCACTGACTAATTCATAAATTATAACTTTGGTGATTGTAGCACGACCGCCAGACAGCAACATCGATGAGTATTTGTACTGTTTTAATAAAATTGCACTCTTTCTTTTAACTCCAATGACTTTGAATATCAGCCAGAAATATAAACTCGAAAAGGTGTATATGTGACGACTGCATTTTTATACTCACAAGGTGTAACATCGTTATTACGACCTAACACAAGTTAGGAGCCTTGAGCGAAAAAAATGAAGTTAAACAATAAAAACGACATATTCACTAACAGTGATGCATAATGCTTGAGCTAAATCATATACTGAAAGGTATTTGGAATGTAACAAAACAGTTGTTTGGGAAATTTCTTCTGAACGATTTAGGTATTATTTTATTTTATATTGACTGAATTTTAGATTTTCCCGTCGATTGACTGGACCGGAGTACTCGGTCTCAGACTGACATGTCAGCTTCTTGTGCAGATGCTTCGACAATGCCTGGGCATATAATTAGGAGTTAATTAGTGGATGATGACTAGCAGTGGAATCCAGGATGTGCATTTCATCCTATCTGGGACTCGTCAACCGGATGTACATGCACTCCTCAGTGAGTGATAATGTTCCCACCGAGGCTTGAACTCAGTGCCCATAGTTTCCAACGCCAAAGCGTTATACCCTAGACCACTTGGGCCATGAGAGCTATCTCTTCTGCAATGGCTCATACTAATTACTTGATTCAGTTTTAGATTTTCCCATCGATTGAATACTGTAGGAAATTTCAATCAATTAATATGAGCCGTTGTACAAGAGGTGGCTCTCGTGACCCAAGTGGTATAGTGGATAACGCTTTGGTATTGGAAACTATGGGCATTGGGTTGAAGCCTCGGTGGGAACATCATCACTCACTGAGGAGTGCATGTACATCCAGTTGACGAGTCCCAGATAGGACGAAATGCACATCCTGGATTCCACTGCTAGTCATCATCCGTCGATTTATGTATTATATTTGGACATTCCAACTAAGTCTGCAATTATTATCTTCCTTTCTCCAAGACTGTACATTAATGTTTTGACGTTTGTATATCACCTGTTAACTTAGTCTCGACTTATTTTTGTCTTTTTCACTGTTTTATCTCTAATTTTAAAGTTTATCTTTTTGATTTTGGAATGACATTGATCCTGTGTTGTTTTGTGACTCTGATTTGAAGGTCATTCTGGCCTTCGACTATCTGAGAGAATTTTTGGTAATGTGATTCTTGCTGACCGAGTTTTGATTCCATCTTATTGGGAATATTCTACTTCATTCTGAGGTACTTCTTACGGTTGATTCTTGATTAACTAGTTTTGTTCTACAGTACTATCGTTGGAGCATATACTGCAAATCCCTCAAGGTAAAACAGTTGTTAAATTCCATATTGATTGGTTTGTTTGATATATCACACAGTGAAACTGTATTATTAACTGAACGGAGTTTTGAACACAGTTTATTGCTTTTGATAGTAACAGTTGTAAATACACAACCTTGAAACTTGGTTTTTACAGTTCTTGCTCTTCATCTACACTTATATCAGAAGTAGTGTAATTTTCCAGGCATCTTCTCCAAATTTTTATGCAAAGATATGAAACTTCATCCACAGATGCGCGTAATTCACATCATATCAAGTTAATTTGGTCATTTCAATAACAGATATTTGCATTTGATGTAAAACTGTCAGTATAGTTTGCAGTTCATTCGCAAAGATATCCAACTTATCAGTTGAATAAAACTAATTTGAAACATATCAGATCCTAGACATACCAAAGTTTTTTAGCAAGATACCTGTTCGTTCATATTCACCTAACAACGAGTCTCTATGCTAAATAAGCTCTCGATGAAACAAAATGAGTCCTGGGTTACAAACTGGTTGCATTCCTATTTCTCAAACAGAATGTAGTACACTGTATACAAAGGTAAATCATCCTCTGCTGCACTCACTGAAGCTGGTGTCCCCCAAGGTGCTGTACTCTCCCCACTTCTCTTTTCTTTCTTTCTACATGACTTATCTTTAAATGACATTAATTTTGTCAAATATGCTGACGTCCTGACAGTATCTTTGCCTATCAAATGTCAAAGCGACTGCTCTAAACGTAACGACTTTCTGTCAGAAATCAGCCAGTGGTCCAAGGAAAACGGTCTTACCTTAAACCCCTCCAAATGCCAAACAGTCAATTTCTCCTTTAGGCATAAATCCGACCTAAACAAACTGGTTAACTCTCACAAGGTATGCAACATAGATGGCACTGAAATAGAAACCAAATCGGAAATCAAATACCTAGGCGTCATTCTATCTGCTGATCTCTCCTGGTCGTCTCATATCTTGATGATTTCTAAGAAAATATTCCGTCTTACCTTCTACATCAAGAAATTAAAACATT